TCAGTTACTATTGTTTCAGGTATTTCAGGTATGTGGCATATATTTTCTTCTATGCACATGGCTCCTAGGCTTTCTTGGGATCAGCTGAATGTTTAGAGACTGCATTTTGGTCTTACCTTTTGTCATTTTCCTATATTTTTGAACTTCAAATTTTGTTCCAAGTGAGGTAGAGAGGTCAACCAGGCAGGGACAGAATTCCTTGCCCCCTCCTTACTCACTGATTTTGACAGGAAGCCAGATCCTGCTCCCCAGGTGAAGAAAACAGTTCGCTGGGCTGGGACACAGTTCCCTGCCTCTGCTGGACTTACTCCACTGACAGAAACCCAAAGCCTGCCTCCCAGGCAAAGAAGAGCATTCCACACCTTCACTGGACTTACTTGACCACAGGAAGCGGGATCCTGGGCCCCAGGCAAAGAAAACAGTTTGCTGGCCTAGGGCGGGGTTCCCTGCCTCCGCTGGTCTTACTGGACCAATAGGGAGCCAGAGCCTGGCCCCCAGGTAAAGAAGAGAGTTCCATGCCTCTGCTGGACTTACTTGACCCACAGGAAGCCCATCATAAGACTTTTGATTTGTTTGACTTTATGTAGGTCTTATCAGGTCTCTCACAGATGGTATGTTCTCCATTGGTGAATTGAATTAAATTGCATTTAGGATGCATGGCTAAAATTCACCCAATTAGCAATCATTTAATCATTTAAGCAATCTATCATCTAAGAAATGTTCATGAACCTCCCACTACATGGGCTCATCTTAATAATGAGAGTAACATATTGAACAAAATCATTCATCAAATACCTTAAAGTAAATAATACCTGGTAAGAGGCATCTAACACTGTGTGATGAAAATTTAACAGTGGTAGAAAGAAAAGTTGCAAAAGTAGTATGTAGGCAATGAAATTAAACTAAAAACCAAATACTGAATCAAGACTAGCAGGTAAGAAAGCTAGGATTATGAATAAATATCACCACATCCAGTTTATATAAGAAGTTTGATTGAAGTAGCAATATGGAAAATATATACGCATAAAGAGTATGAAATGAAATGAACACACACACACATATATGCTTTTGAAATGCAGAGGAAAGTATGTATATGTTCTTTCAGGTATTGCTCCACTAAGTTTTCCATATATCATTTCTATATTTCTTGACTGTGTGAGTTTTTTTTATAAGTATGCGAGGATAAATTAGATCTAATGAATAAGTATGGCATGTGCTACCTAAATTTCATTCTTAAAATATATAATCACTTTAAACCAGAAAGTACTTTATCAATGAAGTACATACTACATGATTTATTACTCTATTTGTAACCTTATATATTAATGTTATAATCACTAAATCTTTATTGGTTTTGTATGAATATAACAGGATGGCTTAAATCTATTAGTGTGATTGATTAAAGCAACTTGCAAATATCTGTGTGTAATTCTACTCTTTACTAACATCCAAAAGAAATGTTCACACAGCTTCAAATGGATATAGTTGCACAGTTGTTAATAGCAATAGTTTTAGTAAGTAAAGTCTAGGTAGAAAGCTAAATGTCCATAATATATTAAAATGTAGTTATCTGCATCGATAAAAAAAATTTATGTAGCCAATATCATGAATACAATTTAAAAACATATTGTTGAATGGAAAATAAAAAACACTGAATGATATGTATGACTATATAAATTAGTAATGATACGTATACTTGAGTATAATGATGTTTATCAAAATCATGTATATGTATATATATATATATATATAAACAATAACCCAACTATATAATTGATTGTGAATTAAAATAAATTTAATCAAAACAATAAATGAAGGATTCTATAAGGCAGTGACAAAAGAAGTAAAAGTGGAGAATGAGAGAAGATATTCTAATATATGTAAAACAGGAAAATAATTATCATATGAGTTGATTGAAATAATGTAATTAAAATTCTGATAAAAATCTTAATTAATTTACTTATTTCAGAATTCAATGGTATTGTGAACCCAGATATTGGGTTCAGTCATCCAAGTATTGCAATTCTTTTTCTAATTTTCTTCGCAATCCAAAAGATTAAATTTGTAATCCCATTGAGATGTCATTGGAATCCTAGCAAGATAATTCCAATCTACCACCACCAGTGCAAACCACGCAAGAGTAAAAACACTAAGACATATTCCAAGTTAAGGGCAGCTGAGGGGTCCTAAGCCCAATCCCCATAAGGACATGCAGACAAAGCCTTGGTCCTAGATTTCTTCCAGAATTTATTATCTTGTGAAGAAGAGTGTGGCTCAGGGATGAGTGACAGTGAGGATGGTGGGGAACTTTGTGAGTAACTTGAGCTGGCTGGCCAGGTGCAAAATTGGCATCCCTGTAAATTGCAGAGATAAAGATATGCCGAAAGATCAATTTAAATAATTTAATTAGGGTAGCCAATGGAATTGTTTTGAGGGGTTATTGCTTAGGTTTCTGATATGCAGACTCTTGTGCCCCGGGGAATCATAGCCTCTAGTTTTGAGCGGCCTAACCAGTTGACATTTCAGAGCTATTTGCTCTAACATCTCATGTTCTCAATCCTGTATTGTGGAGAACACCATGTGAGGAAACAGGACTGTCTGTTGACAATAGATTTTGCATATTGGCACCTCAGCTAGCCTTAATTTGTAATGCTCAGAGCCAATTGAAGAGAGAAGGAAATACCCTAACCAATCTTTTACATATCAGAATAATGAAATGAGTCTCCAAGTAATCAAAGTCACAGTAATTGTTTTGGATTCAAAAGGAGGTGGTCTCCCACAAATGAGGAAAAGATATACTTCCAATTATTCCATATCTAGAAGAGGCATTCTGCTATTTTTGGTGAAATATTCTAATAAAATCATTTTCAAAATGTGTTTTGATGGAGTTCAAGAAAACATGTCTTTAAAGTGCAATCTTAGAAACTTGTGGTGAATTTCTCCCTGTATGCCTCTTGATCTCTAGGTCTAGGTTAAATTTATGTAGACACTTTTTGAATTGTTTCTTGTTTTATGCTATTGTCAATAGAAGCTTATTCAATTTATCACAAGTGCTTCGTAAAACTATTTGGAGAAATGTAGAATGTAAACTTTTGCATAGGTTCCTTCTGAAGATATGGAAAATTATCAATAAGTTATGCTTGTCATACTGTCTTCAAGGTCACAAATGCTTTAGCCTTTCCTAGGGGTCTAAGCAGCTGTGGCAGAAACTAGAAATAGTTTGCTAAAAAAAAATGACATACTAGGAAAGAAATCATTCTCAGGTAACAGTATTACAACAGGTATTACACAGTAGGAAATAAAAACTGTTTAGGAGAAATAATTTAAAAAGATGATTGATCTTATAAATTTACCAAATTCTCATGGTATGGGAGAAAAGAAAGACACTGAATCTGAAAAATGTGTGATTTATTAAAGGATTTATTTTAATTAGAGTACAAATTTATTCTTTGATACACCTAACATAAAGGTAGACAAAAATATATACTTAGAAACATTAAGGAACACATTTCAGTTTTCAATCCTTGATTGTAATTCTTGATATGTTAAGACATAAAAAAAAAAAAAATTGAGGCCAGTATGGTGGCATACATCCATAACCCCAGTACTCAAGAGGCTGAAGCAGGAGAATTGCTATGAATCCAAGGCTGGCCTGGGCTACAAAATGAATTCTAGGTCAACCTGAACTGCATAATGAAACCTTGTCTCAAAAAGATTAAAAAATTAATTAAAATTAAATTAAGTTAAAATAAATTTGAAAGTAGTTGTTTATATATCTACAAATGTGTGTTTCAATTCCCTTATTGTTTCATAATTTTTTGTTATAGTAAAAACAAGTAATATCTAATTTCTTGTGTTGACTACAAATTTTTCTTTGTTCTAATATACCTATATTATTCTACAAAAAATACAATGCCTCTATTTTAGGGCTACAATACAGATGACATTACAACATTTTGATATAGGTTTTGTTTTTCCACTTTTTTCTTTTTTAGAAATTTCCAAAGTAAGAAAAGATGTAATTACAATGATGTTCACAACATAGCAGCTTAAAACACTGGATTCAGTTATATGAGGTTATTCAATTTTGTATACTATTTTTAAACTTAGGCCAAATATTTCCATAAAATTAGGAAGCTACATTTAAAGACTCAATGTGCACTGTCTGTCTAGGACTTATATGTCACCTGGGAGGATGATATTTATTTTCTACCCAGCAGGGAAAATAACAACAGTGATAACAGCCAACTCCTACTGCTAATCTCTAGGTACACTTTAATCAGGATTATAGTTTACCAGTCAGGAAATTGTTCAAATACCTAGGAAGAAAAGATTCTACAAAAAGTACAGTCTGAGCCCTATGGTCTTTTCTAATAACTGGAGTTCTTCAGAAAATTTCATTTTATTTACAAATATTTTTAAGTAGAGATCACTAACTTGGCAAAAGTCCATTTTGAAAAGGGAAAAAGAAATATCATATCAATTGTTTTTCCTGTGTTATACTCCCATGTTACATAAAGAGAAAGTTATTACATAGTGCTGAATTACTGATACAAATACAAAAATAAACATGAGATGCAGTAACAGAAACTATCTTTTTATAGTAGTTTAGTACAGTACATTAAAATCAACTATAAAAACTCCAAACTCTCTTCAAAAATTGTGTCTGTGAGTTATTCTTGCTATAATTCTTTCCTCATTTGAACTCATGCTATATTTTTGGTGTTTTTCAAGGCCACAGCCAGGCAACTATTAACAAAGATATTTTTAAAGAAGCAAAATGAAATTTAATTATAGATGTAAGAGACAAAAGTGTCTCTGTTTTGGTTTAGATTTAAAATATCCCTCCTCTCAAGTATCCTGTATTTGGAGGAGATATTTTAAGAAGGTGGTTGAATCCCAGGAATGCTATATTCATCAGATAATCCTTTGATGAGTTCTTGGCTGAAGATGTGGCTGGGAGTTGTGGCCTGATTAAGGAAGGTAGGCCACTCGGGACTGACTAGATGGATGGGTTCTTTTCCCTGGGTTGTACCTTCTCTCTATGTTTTCTGGCTTTGATTTTCCTCTACTCTGCCTTTTAACAGTACGTTTTCTGCCTTGGATCAAGATAATCATGGAAAGAAACCTCTGACATAGTAGGTAAAACTAAATGTTTCCTTCTTATTAAATCGTGGGTATTGGGTATTATTTTCCAGTGACTAATTACTTCCCCATATGAAAGTACTAACCTGAAATAATTTATGACTTGTAAGTTTAACTTTTCCTATGATCCATATTTCTTTGAATGATTCTACTACTTATTCTGTCACTTTGAACATAACCTTATCATTAAAAAAAACAATTATACTTAATAATCATTCCCAACCTCCTCAATAAAAATTTATTATCATCTGCTTGTATCAGTTTGAAATTAAGTCTCCTTCTGGTATGTGTTTTGTATTGCTTCTAATCTTATCTTTTTAAAGCAAATATTAGATCAACTTCTTTGTTTTGTTACTAATTGATTTACAATACTATTTTGCCTGTAGTAATTGGATGAAATCAGTAACTGAACTGTGTTTTGATTTATGGCAAACCACATTTAGACTGGCTTAAATAAAATATGGAATTTATTAACTCACTTATTTGGAAGGTCAATTGGGACTAAGGGTTAGCTCATTATTGTAGTGACTTAGTAATGTAAAAATTCCAAAATTTCTTCTCAAGTATCTTATCATTTTCTCATGTACTTTCAAATTTACTTTATATATATAAACAGGGATTCATGAATGTAAAATGATTTCAAATAGGTGTTATAATCCACAATTTTCATTCATATTAGGAAAAAGTGTTTTTAATCATGAAATATGACCTGAGCTTCCTTCCAGTTTGGCACATTGGGTCATGTGATTTCTCATGAAGCAATGACTATTCAAGGGCAATGGAAATTTATGATTACTTTAGTCCCTGGAACAAGAATGGCAACTCATTAGTAAAGGATTCTGATCCAACGGATGGTGGAAAAGTAATTACAATGTTTCTGTGTTGCTACGTTAGCAGGAGGTTCTGGTCTCTTTACATTTTGCTCATTATTTATTCATTACATAACATGGTACAGGAGAGGCAGATTTCAATTTCCAAACTTGTTCAGTATGATGCTGTTCAATTCAGAGGCTCTTATAAAGTCTTCACCTTAATCAAAGGCTGTCTGCTGTGGGTGATCTAACCAGCAGAAAATGGTGACAGTGAGGGTAACTAATGTGTGAACTTAGGCTATGAAATTTCAATACATATCTGCTTGTTGTCTACCTGGGCTCCTGGAAACAATTTTTGCAGACTTTTTCTTTTTCTTTGCTTTGCTTTGCTTTGATTTGATTTGCTTTGCCTTGCTTTTTCTTTTTTCATAGAAAAACCCAAATGTGATTAACAACCATTCTACAGAAGCAACCAACAATCATGAACTGAAAGAGTATTTAGCATGACTACAGCCTCATCATCATCAGAATATGAATTGCTGAGAGAATAGCAAAACATTTTGCCTAGATGAATCAACTTTCAGCATTGTAAAAAACAATAAAGTTAACTGTCTTTATTTTAATCCACTGAAATTTGAATAATTTATTGAAAAATTATACCAAACAAGAATATTTCAGCAATAATACAGCTTTCAAAAAATGCTTCAAATAGTACTCATCTGCAAAAAGTCATTTATATTCTTGCTTTTTCTCATTTTGTTTCTTTTATGTTCCTGAATCCAGTTAAAAATTTTTAAAAAGTCATCAATCAATTCCTCTGAGTCACTATGCTACGGCCTGGAAAAGTGAGTTCTATTATTATTATTATTATTATTATTATTATTATTATTATTTTTGCTGTGGAAAGTATGGTGTATAATTGGTTCTGTATAGATTGAATTAGGCAATTTATCAATTAATCACCACTTGATTATTATGAATTCTTGAACATTAATTCTTCATATGGCTGCATTGATATCTTGAATTTATTCAAAATGTTTATTTAACATCCATGGTCATTTTGACTTGAGGAAGACTAGAAATTGCATGACTCCAGATCTGATTAATAAAATAGAAAAAGACACATCATCATGCTTTGAAAGCCATCCTGTGCAATGGATGGCACTTGGCTATAGCATTACCTATACTTGTATCACACTTTGTAAATACACTTATGGAAAGAGAACTTCCAGAACTGCTCTAGAAAGTGTCAAGAATAATAGGAAAAGTGTGATCAAAAAGAGGGAAAACTTAGAGATTAATCTTTTATGATACTTTAATATAATAAAAATATTCATTGTATACTTTGGTCATTCCATGTCTTTATTTATATTAGTTATAAAAAAATCAAAAGGTTGATCTTTTAATTACTGAACTTTTTTTTTCTATTTAAGGAGAAAAAGAAAAAAAACAGAAAAAGGGTGCAAGTTATACAGAATTTCAGAAAAAATAAAAAATAGGAAATTACTAGTTAATAGATTACATATTGTTATCTTAGAAATTGTTCAAGTTACAAAATTAAAGCATATAAAATGGGCTTTCAAACAGTGAAACTGGAAACAGTTTTGTTCAGTGATCCAATAAAACTCAGTAATATGATTGTCTATCTTATACACTTTAATATATATGCAATTATATTCTTTAGAGCACTTTCTTTCCTTTCTTTTGTACAATGACAATTACACATTTTGGGTTTTATTACTCCCACAGTTCTTATTACTTTTTTTTGAGGAGAGTAAAACCAAATGGGACATAACAGAACAGAGTCAGTCAAATCAAAAGGATAGACATAATAGATAATGTAAAAACAAAATATTAGGTACATTATAATTATTTTTCAGATGATTCCAGGTATTCCTAATTGCCAAAATATTTTCCACAATGGCATTGATAACATTATCATTTTGTGTTTCTTTTTATCGAATTTCATTGTCAGTAAACAAAACAGAACAAATATCTATATATAAGTGGATTTGAATTTCATTCTTCTTTTTAAGTACCTGGAATTCCTAATAGCACAAATCTTATATGAGGTACAACAGAACTATCTTCTTAAGATTATATACATTCAAATTATTGTTAGTATGCTTTTCTTTCACGTCATTTAACATATTGACATTTATTAATTTATGTATTTTTAATGCTTTGAAGTGTTGCTTATTTTCAAACACAACTCTTACTTGATGAACATCCCATGTAAATTTAGATTGCTTTGTTTTGAAATAAACAAAATCATTTATTTTTGCAGTGTAATCTGCATCTTCAATAACAATATGATCCTTTGTAGTTGTATGATTTATGATTCTAAGTGGAAAGTGTTCAAATGAGTTCAAATGTGTAGATTTTCACTAAATCATTTATGCTGCCTATTTACTTATAATCACTCTTTATTGTTTCCAGAAGTACTAAAAGTGAAAACATGGCATAAACTGTCTGAAGCAATATTTTGTTTAGGGAACACAGATTTTAAAAGCCAAATCTCGATTAAGTTCAATTCCATTTATGTTTTTCATTTGCTTGTGAAACCTCAATTGTCTCTCATCTGCACTACTTCGTGAATGTGATTTCTTCCTACTACCTGAAATTGCTAGATTTATAGCCCACGACATGCAAAGAATGCTGTGTTAATAGATACATCTACTAGCAATACAGAAAGTTTCCTTTTCCCCTGCAGCACAGCTGCATTACTTTTCATTTAATTTTTTAAATGATTTTCATTCTTTCTGGAGTAAGCTGTTATCTCAGTGTTGTTTTAATTTGTATTTTTGTAATTTCCTGTGGCATTCAACATTTTTTCATGTAATTATTGACTGTCCTTTTTCTGAGAAGTATCTATTCATTTTGTGATAAATATCATCGTATGTACTACAAACATATAGTAATAAAATATGTTTTTTCATTTTCTGTAAGCATATGTAATTATTTTACAAAAAATGACAATAAAGATACAATAATCTCATTGTAAAAATGTAATATTCATTGGTAACTACATGAGTCTTGAAGCTTATTAATTCAATTATTCTGTTTTTAAAGCATGTAGACTATGCATTTTGAAGTTTACAAGTTCAGAGTATTCCAAAATGACTGTGATGTAAAAAAGAAAATAAGAAAAATATTCATAGCAATATCTTACAAAGGGACATAATGGGATAATTCCCCAACTGTAGTGAAAGATAATTTCCCACCAATTAAATTGTTTTAATTTAATCTAAATTAAAAGAGTAAAAATTCTAAGAAAAATGAAATAGTATTAAGCATTGTACCTGCAAAATATAAGTGAAAACATTGTTGGTTTTTAAAAACATTCAAACATCACATTTCAACAAATATAATCAAAACAAAATTTAGGAAGAGGAAAGAGATAAAACCCTATATATAAAACAAATATATTATATTTTAATTATAATCATAACACAGAACCTTATTTGACAATAATGTATCATTGTAGATGGAAAATAATATTGAAAGCAATTCCAGCAATTTAATATATTGTTTTAACCTTTATCTAAAAAGAAACATGATAACTGTTTGCAAGGTTTCTCTTGAGCTTTAACATACTTTAAATTTAAATTTTTCACTAAAGTAAATTGGTACAAGTCTTCAATTTGTTGTAATTGGGGAATAGATTGCCAGTAAATTCAAAGTACTATTTTAAAGTAAATATTTATACTCTACCATTTATATCTATGATTATATTTGTCAAAGCACAGAATATTTCTTAATGTTGTAAAAAGCTTGATAAGTCCTATTTTCACTGTAGTCCAATATAATTTGTCTTTACCTTTGCAAAATCATGTTGCAGTTCTCCAAAGAGCAAAAGTACTAAATGTTTTAGTATTATTGCACATGTAAGACACATAGTATCTCCAAAATCTGGGAATAAGTTGCATTTGCTTCCTTTTTATACAGACTGTTCATTCCAGAAATTTCCAAATTTGATTAACTCTACATCCATGCTGCTAACTATAGTCTCACCAGATTAATCATTTCATGCAGACAATCACATCAATGATCTTAAATTCAATAGTTTCAATTTAAAAATTTCTAAAATACCCTAATGAATGCAGCTGATATTTGGGGAATTTATTTTATCCCCGCCCTCTTGTTAAAGGAAGAAATATGTTAATATATATTTACTTATACTGGTATGAACTCTGAATTTTTTCATAACATCATAATTACATTTTACTAAATAAAACTTTACAACCCCAAATTTGTTAAAAGTCATAATGTAAATCTGTGTTATATTGCTCAGAGATATTAAATGTTTGTTTGGATCAAGTCTGATGCAAGTAATTTTCTGGATGACACCAACACACTTTAACTCTACTAAATTGGTTACTAAATCAGCAATACATCAGCTGCTAAGTCAACAATAGCCATGGTATGGTTAAGCAACAAAGGCAATCTCTTTGTTAGTTTCATTTAACTTATGTATTGATGCTTTTATAATTTTTTTTTTTTTTTGCCTTTTGGAAACAAGGTCTTGCTATGTAGTTCAGGCTGTCCTTGAGCTCAATTAGTAGCCCAAATTCGTATTAAATTTGCAAAGATCTTTTTGTATCAGCCTCTATAGTGTTGGGATTATAGGTGTGCACCACCATTCCCAGCAATGTTTTATAGTATTAATCCTTCCTTCCTAGGTGAATTGTGTTGTAATTAACTAGACAATAGATTTGAAGTATATTATCTGTTTCAGAAATATCAAAAACTAGGATATTTATTTTATATACTCTTATTAATCTCTCAGCTATTCTATATATAATATATATACATATTCTATATATATGAATTCAGTCTTAGGAAATCAAAGTGAAAATTACAAAGCATTATTATTTCCATGTTAAGTTATTAAGATCTGCTTTTGACAATGTTTAAATGAACATTTATTATTTCTATTAATTGATTTTGTATTTGTGTATGTATATACTTATAGTGTTTAAAGTTTATGATAATATCATATGATTATTTTACAAAAAACATAGTTCTATTATTTAGTATTAAGTATAGCAAAAAAGAGAAGTTACTTATATGAGGAATATTAATTCATAGTAGGCTAATATTAACTCAATTGGTCCTTATTTTGAAACATGTTCTCACTATATAATTAGACTAGTCTCAAAAGCACAATATATATATTGCAGGCTGGCTTCAAGATCAGTGATCCTCCTGCCTTGCTCCCTCAAATACTGAGTTTTCAGAAGCATACCTCTATGCCTGGCACTTCTTTTTTTCATCACAACCACTTTTACCAGTGGTTTATTTCTAGTAGACCTATAAAAGTTATGCTTGTTCTTGTGAAGTTTCAGAATAGCATTTTCACAATCAATAAATCTGTGTTTAAAAAGTACAATGTTTATCCTAATATAGTTAAAATTATTAAAATATAGATTTAAGAGCAAAAACATGATTAAGATTAAATTATGGTAAAAATAGAAATATTCATTATACTGTTTCATTTTGTATAAATTTAAGTTCATGTACAAAAGATGAATTTAAACTATTCCATGTTCTAAAGTAGTCCTACCTTACAGGTAAATTCAGCTCACACCACACATGACATTATTTTGTTGGGAAAATACACAATTCTGATGCTTTTACATAAGAACAACATTACCTTTTTCAGAAACTTTTAACAATATTGATGTTGACACTCATTACTTGTTGGGAAAGAATATAATTTGGACAGATTTATCTTTGGTTCAAGCTGGGGAGATAGGTGGTGACATAGTGACTGCCTGGCAAGCATGAGGTCATGAATTTGATTCTCAGTAACAAGAAAAGAGAAGGAGAGGAGAGGAGAGCA